GGCCCCTTCCTCCTGAGCGACCCCGGGGCTCCCAGATGCCCCCTTGTGACATGAGGAGACCCCAGCTCCTCCGGCCCCTTCCTCCTGAGCAACCCCGGGGCTCCCAGATGCCCCCTCGTGACATGAGGAGACCCCTCCCTTTATGGCTTATGGGAAAAACTGTTTTTTCAGTGGCTATTGTTTCCTGATCTGTTGGCCTTTTCGCCTTCATATTTTCTACTCATTTGCTGTACTTAAAAACATACAACTACATGGACATTGCTTGACACACAGAGAAAAACTTGTTTCCATTTTTCATTCTAAGCTGGAAAAGAAAGAGGCTCATGCTGTGATACTGTGGTGCTCGCGAGAAGGTGCCCACATCTTTAGGGATAAGCGGTACTCACTTTCCAGGGGGACCCGCACTTTGTGAGGGCACCCCGAAAGGCTGCGGTGGTGGGGGTAGAGCCCCGTCACGTGCCCTGTGCCATCACACCCAGGTATGGGGCACTTGGTCTCCCTTTTTTCAGGCCTCGGTGAATCTACAGAGAAATTAAATTGAGAAATTCATGTGGTTATTCTTCTTTTCCTTCCTATTCAATAGAGTGGCCTTGCAGGGTCACATTCTCACTTTATTCAGTTTTACCACCACAAACATTCTTCTCACATTGCCTTGAAGAAGACCCTCAACTCAGACCTATGGAAACATAAAACATGTTTTCAATTTTCTTGATTTCCTAAGCCAAGGCTGACACAGGTCAAGGGACCGTTAAAACAGAGATGGTTTTAAGTTGACATGTCACGTGCTCTAGTTAAAGCCTAATTGTGAAAAAAGATCACCCCTAGGCCAGAGGGTGAACAGTCTTCTGAAGAGAAAAAATAAAAAAGAAAGAAGTAAAAGAAAAGTGAGAAAGAAGAAAGAATTTATTTAAACCTAAATCGTCTCCTATTGAAAGTGTAGAGAGCACCAGATCCCAAAGTACAAAACAAAAAGACTTCTTTGGCCTTGTTTGCGTGAGTCCGGGCAGCAGACGTTCTAGGTTTGCTTGCCGCTCACTCGCAAGCAGAGAGAGCCTGCTTCCCAGACGGGCCAGGCGGGGCCCGTGCTCTGCTTTACCAAGGGCTGTTAAGTCCCAACTTCCCCAAGCCCCAAAGAGCTGCCACTTAGGTCTATGGGGAGAAGGGTGTAAATGTCACTGCCTGCCAAAACCGAAAACCAAGGCAGTAGCAAGATGCAGGCAGGACGTGGTGTGGAGAGGACTTTCAGAAGATGCCACTACAGCAAGGGGAGCAGCCGGAGGGGCTGCTGAGAGCCTGGGCTGGTGGGGCTCCCAGGGGCACCAGTTAGGAACACCTCTGTGCAGGAGCCGGAGGGGGAGGGCTGGAGACCAGCTCAAGAGTTTTAAGTTTTTGATTAGAAAAGGGTTATATAAGAACATAACTCAAATGCATACAAAACGGGCATACTGATGAGGGTAGAGCTAATGTGGCAAAGTCTTACTTACACAGATGTGTATGTGTGAGTGAGATGGTAGATCAAATGGAAATTCGTTTTGTCTTGTAGCCAAAATTGCCTCCTAACTCATGCTTGGGATGATACTAACCACGGGCAATGTCTGTCCCTGGGCACCCAGGGTTCAGAAGGAGAACAGAAGGAGTGTGCGACCCCTGAGAAGGGAACGAGGTGGAAGGCAGGGCGACTTCTCAGAACTCAAAGCAACGGGACTGTTGAGCACACTTGGGACTGAGTGTGAAAATAACCCACGTGATCCCACCCAAGAAATTGCCAGCAGCACAGTCCCTGGAAGGGTCTGGCCGTGTGAGGACACACAGTGTCCACACGCTCCTGCTCCAAGCTGGTCACCCAGAACAGGACATTATGGTGGGCGGTGACAGTCTTCGGGCAGTGTATTGTGAGAGCAGACACTATACCATGTCACGCCAGTTGCTGGATTACACGTGGTCCTGGGCAGATGGGGCACAGCAGGTTGTGTGTAATGCAATTACATGGGGGCATGGTTTTGGCAAAAGGGGGAGGAGCCTAGGATCCCTCAGACTGCAGTGTGTAGTGCTGGTCCAGGAAGAGTCAGGAGACAGAAAGCAGTGATCTGTATGTGAGCCGCCATCACCCAAAGATGGAGATGTGTCCACCGGCAGCCACTGGTGTTAAGAGACAGGACTTAAATATCACGACTGATGTCCAGATGACTCTCTCTATTTTGTAAGAGACAGCAAAGCACATCAAGAGTTTGTGATGTTGTAGGACTTTGTGCATGCGTGTCTCTTTTAATCCAAGCATAGTGGCAAATTTGAAGTTGATTCGGGCACACGAAATGTATAGCCCGTTAGTCAAACCCTTGAAGTCCAATTCAAGGGAACCGAGAGGGGCTGACCCCGTCACAGACTGCTGCCTGCAGGGAGAAGAGCAGTAGTGTGTATTCTGATGTCCTTCCTCTCTTGGATCTTGTCCAGGTGAAGCCACATTTCTAAACCACACTGAAAGGCTTGGCTCAGAGCATTTCCCCTCCTTACCACACTGTTTGTCTGTCGGAAGCCAGAGAGGGTGTTGGAGATAACACCGCTGGCACCTGCCCAGGTGGGGCCCACTGATAGTCCCCCACGCACCTTTGTTCGCAGGTCTCTTCTCGGCTGGGCAAAACAAAGGTGCAGATGAAATGCTCTGGAGGGCAGAACCTGTTTGCATGATAAGAAGCCAGAGCGGGAGCTCAGAGCTGCTCTCAGGCCCGTCTCTGGTTTTCTTTGTACAATGAAGCTGACCTTCTACTCTGCTGGTGTTACGTTCTCACCCACATCTGATATACTTGTGGCATTCTTTGTATTCCTCCTCTTTACTTGAAAAGTGTCATAGGTTGGGCAGTAAATTACCTGGTGACTCTACATATATTGGGACCTGAAGTCTCTAAATGCTTCACAGCAGTGGCATAACCAAATGTTTTGTAGAATTGCTGACTTCTCTGAAGGCATGAGCAAAATGATAGTTTGGATAGTTGGCCTTCCCCAAGCAGTTGGCAGGGGGTGGGGCCAGAGGTAGGAGGGTTCCAAACCCAAGACCAGCCTGGAAAACTTAGTGCGACCCTGTCTCAAAATGAAGAGAGCTAGAGATGTAGCTCAGCGGTTCGGCACTTGTGTACTATGTGAAAGCCCTGCGTTCAATGCATAGTATTGCTGGGAAAAATATCCCAGTGTTCTCTCCTTAACAGAAGAGTCAGTGTTCGGTGGTACACAATGTCAGGAGGTTGTTTGGAAGAAGATGGCCATCAGTAGAGAGGAGTATTCCCTTATGAACGTGAAATTCATGTCAGAGAAAAAAAATCCCTACTGTTCCCGACATCCAAGACAAGGAATAGAAAAGAGAATACTTAACTTGGATGCCTCATGCATCCTCCACCAAGCCTATAGCTCCTTGCAGTATGGGTTTCACCTTTACTGCCTGTTTTGTACAAGCCTGGTTCTGATCTCTTGCAGAAGCACTTAACCCTCCAGAGTAGGACTCTGTCCTGTGCTGTAGGACATCCTGTAGACTCAGCCAGTCCTGACAGTGGTTCTCTGCATCCAAGTGACCCAGCGCTTACAAATACAAATTCTTTTTCCAAGTATCATCAATTATTTTAAGTTATGGCTTAAAATTTCTACAAATACTGTATTTCATTGATTGTAAGAGATTATCAGTAGTAAGATGAAATTAGTTTATGTGTGGTTAAGATAGAAAAATCTACTGAAAATGAAGCTGCATACTTTTCTAAGTTCAGAATGTTGAAATAGGAGAACTATATCTCTTAGAACCAAGGGAAATATAGTATATTAGAAATTATGGATTTGGGTATTTGGAGTAAATTTCACATTTTTTCAGATTTTATAGTTCATTCAAAAAGAAAGAGGTAAATTCCAGAAATTGCATATTAACGGGCATGCACAAAATTAAACACAATGTCCTGTCCCAAACCACACCTTAGTTGTTAATACTCTGTTCCTATCCCAGCCCTGTAGGGATAGTTGTGTGGCTTTATTATTGTGCTCCTCCCTACTTGGCATTATTTTAGCCTTCTCTGTCTCCTCCGCTTTGCAAGACATTACTTGTGAAGATTGCGTGTGAGTTGTGAAATGGATTTAAAGTGACAAAATATATAATTTGTTTCTGGATAAATCTAAGGAATCAGAATTTCTAAACCGTATTAATATGTTGTTCTTCTAAGACCTGTGGCTATATGACCTTGACTTTCTCTAAGGTATTCTGTCTCTCATTCTGTGACTGTCAGACTTCTGGGTGTCCAAACATCACCTGAGAATCTGCCAAAGGACAATGGAAACTCCGGAGCTCTGGATCTGATTGGCTCCTGAAGTGCCCATTGTAGAGGAACCCTCTACGCTCTTACACAGCACATAGTTGTTGGATTCATTATCAGACCCATCTGGTACGAAATGGGTAGAACACTCCATGGAGGGAGAGGATAATATTTGCCTGAAATCTGAGGAACAATATTAAAGTTTCCTCCGAGCACATTTACTCTGTCAATTGACCTAGGAATTTTTGGGCCCTGAATTAAAGAACTGGTAAAGGATAGGCTTATAAATAAACACATTGATGCCTGGCTTAATTTGCAGAAGGATCAGTCCATCCTGCTTGGCTGACCAATGGCTTGATATCATTTTAAAGCTCAAAAAAGGAAAAGAAGCCAGATGACCATATAATGAAGGTGGGGAAGATAAATTAAACTTCTAGAATTGATTTGGTGAATAGAACAATTTGAAATCCAAAAAATACTATTGTAATTCTAACAATGTCTGATACGGTGTAGTCCTCTTTAAAGCTATGGTATATTTTTAAAAATCGGTTCAATCAAAAGAAATAGATGTTGTGAGTATTTTTCATGTGGAAAGACACTGCAAACTGAGCATAATCTGATAACGCTCTACCGAGTGGGAAGAAAGATAAGAAGTTGTTCATTTCAGACTTATGCATCGATTTTTAAATTGAATTAAATTGTCAAAAAGCTATCTGGAAGGAATAATCAAATCTAACTTTTTTTCAAGCCTGAAAGCAATCTCATTTCTAAAATGAATGCAAAAGTGCATCTTACGTTTATTGGTGAAGACTTGTCTTCCGGTCATGTCAATAACTTTGGTTTGTCTCCTTTCTCCCGCCAGGTGCTCCAGCAGAAACCTGTCCAGCTCTTTGTAGGTGCTGTGGAAAACGCAGCCTCGTCCGGCCTGCAGGGCAATGGCCTGCTCCAGCAGATTTAAGTTCCCCTTGGCTTTCTCAAGGTCTCCGGATTCTTCTGTCATCACAGCCAGGCTCTCACCCTCGCCTTCCCCCTTCTCAGGGAAAGAAGCCTGGGCGTGGCCATCCAGGGCCTCCCCACGGACATTCTGTGGGTCTCTCCTCTCTGTGTTGGAGTCACACTTGTTTTCACAGGGAGCAAATGTGTCATCTTCTGTTTTTATTTCCGGAACTTCCAAAAGGTTTTTTTTATTCTCCGCTAACATGTACTTTGGGCCTCGGTGGGGTTTGCTGTCTTCTGACGAGCTGGAGCCACTATCCCACCCGTTCTCTGCACTTTCAGAGCTGCTTTCGTTGTCATCCGAGGAGCAGAACAGCGGCTGAGGCTCATCTGCCTTGTCCCCCCCATCATCTGATTGGATCATAAAGCACTCATCGGCTTCATCGCTCTCTGCTTTTAAAGACTGGATGCCGCTGTCATTTAAATTTTCATTTGTGCTCTGCACAGACACATTCTTTTCAAATTTTCCCAAGTGCATTAAAGATTTGACCACAAGCTCTTGATAGTGAGTGTATCGGTCTTCTCTCTGGTGAGAGTTTTCGTGTGCATTTGAATGAACGTTCTCCTCCAAAGGTTTTATCATGATTTCTTCTACAGGGGAGGAAAAACGATATTTAAAAAACAAGCATAAAACTATTTTAAGGGAATTATACCATTACATATGCAGACATCTGTAAATGTGTATATCCACATGCGTATGTACACATACATATGTATGTAGAAGGGTGTCAAAAATATTCAGTGAATGTTTAAATTTTAAAAATGTATTACAGTAAAGCACACAATGCCATTAGCCTCTCTCAAAATGCTACCCTTTCCTTCGAACACACTTATCCTATTGTTCCTGCCACTCTCTGAAGCCCTTCTGGAAGTTCTTTTGTGTAAGTAGCTTTAGTTGCACTGTCACGGTTGCCTCAGTGTCTTGAGTAAGTTCAAAAGGTGCACATTTTAACTTGAAGAAAGCATCAGAAGGTGCACAGTGCCGGACCCGGTGAACAAGGTGAATGAAGAAGACACATGATAGTGCTTTCTACAAGCCTGCTATTCCACTGAATGGCACCCAGCAGCAACATTCACCGTACACCTCAGAAAGACACTCATGAAAGAGGACTCCAGAACTGCTTCAGAAAGTGGCAGGAATGATGGGATAAGTGTGTTCAAAGTAAGGAGTACTTTAAGACGGATGAACGGCAGTGTGTCTTTTACTGTTGTAAATTTAAGTATTTTTAAAATTTAAATATTCACTATTTAAATATTTCAATAACACGCCATATACATATATAATATGCAAATGGGTGGTACCTATTAATTTTATAAGCATTGATGAAAAAATATATATAGTCTTAAGAGAAAACTTAGAGCTGAAAATCGCTTCTAAAAAATGATCTATTATAATTATCAGCATATTAAAAGCTAAGCATTTCTAGGGTGCCAACCATGAGAAGTCAATGTGTAAAAATACTAGAGTACAGAATGTGAAAATACTGTTATTATACCTCTTATTTCCACATCTTAGCCAACCAAAGGGAAACTGAATATACACGATGTAATATATTGTAAAGAAAATATTAATCAGATTTCTCTGTTAAAAATGTACTTTTGAAGATTATTTGGTTTATACTCTCTATAGTTTCTCAGACATACTCGTAGATTTTATGGACTATTACCTAAAATACAAAATATACATACATAGATATGGTAACTAGAGAAATTCATAAGCTTCAAAACTTCTTGCTTCCCAGTATTTTGGGAGGCTGAAACAGGAAAACCACAAGTTGAGCCCAGTCTAGGCAACTCGGACTTAGTAAGACTCTCTCAAAACAAAACTGATAACTAATGAATAAAACAAAAAAAGAGAGAGAGGAAAAAGAGAAGGAAAGGGGAGAAATAAAGGGAGAAAGAAATGAAAGAAGGAAAGAAGAAAGAAAAAGAAAGAAAGAGAAAGAAAAAGAAAAAGAAAGAAAGAAAGAAAGAAAAGAAAGGAAAAAAGAAAGAAAAGAAAGAAAAAAGAAAAGAAA